AAGCTGTTAAGCACTAAATAGTATAATAGAGAACGCAATAAGGAGCTAATGTGCTTTTACAAACTTTGTTCAAAGCCACAGTTCTTCGTGGCATGAAGCCACTGGAATGTTACTCCAAGACAACAGTAATGGACCTAAACCTTTTGGCTTCTTGCAGCCTAAATACATAGCTGTTAAATTAAATGGAGGAGGACACTCCGATCAAGTCGTAAAATTCTTTACTTATTCACGATCAAGGCTTTGTAGGCAGAGCAATGTTTTGGTTTAGAATACAACCAGTATTCCTCTCTAAAGCAGTGCGTGATCTGTAAGTTAGTTAGCAACTTATTTATAGTAAAAACACGTCCATGGTATTTCAAAATTGCAAATTATTTATTAGCAGTCATTTCATTGTTGGTGGTAAGAATCAGGACCTTCAGTTTTAGGGAGCTATATGTACATTTTATATGCTAAAAAGCTTTCCAGACATTACAGAAGACTTTGATTTATTGTTTCAGCTGCATCCTACCGGAACCATAATTGTTCCTTGTATAGTGAGGTCCTCTTCAGAGCTAATGCACATCACCAGATTATCTGTGTGTGGGGAGAGGTATACATGCCCACATATCTATATAATTTGTTATGGATGGCAGGAGAGCAGAAATAGGAAGTTCTAGGTTCAAACCATTGCTGTAGCATACACAGGTTGCCGCACAGCCTCATGCGGATCATTGGACTTCTGCATCCGTGTCTCTTTCTTGTAAACTCGGTAAAATATTAACATATGTCGGAGAACTAGGATTAAATCGTCAGTATTTGTGCACTGCTTGTGTGCATCTAGTGATAATCTATTGGTGTAGCAAACACTTTTCAGGCTGATCACTGGCAAAATTGTCTTGTTTAATGTGGTCGGGGGAAATTATGAACAGAAATATTCTTCCTTGGGTTCAGCCAAGATATTTCTACTGGGCAGTACTTCTAAGTAGAATATTAGAAGTAAGCGAGAATATAATGCGGTAAAATCCTGTCACAGATATAAGCATGCGTTAGCTTTAAAATTAAACCCAAATCATTATTTTGGTCATTTTATGAGTGGATAAGGAAGGCTGCATCTATTCTTACATTCACTATATGTTAACCTTATACTCTCCTTCAGAAACAAGATCTCTTTAAAATGTCAAGAACACTGGCAATCCAAAAAACTTGACATTCAGAAATCTTGGCAAGCATGCTTGAAGCTTCTACAGGAAAACTTACGCAAGGTTACGAATGTACTGTTTATCACTTTCACGTCAATAATATACTGACTCTTCAAGTCAGCTATATTATTGCTTATAAATGGCACATCTCATCTTTTAGAAAGCAATCTGATTTAAAATAGAATGAGAACGGTTAATTTGCAAGAATGCAAACAAGATCCTTGTTTTGCTGGTTTGTCTTTTTTTCCCCTGTAGAGAGTGATAATGATGCATAAATCTTATAGGTCTAGTAATTATTCTAGTAACTATTTTTTAATGAAAAGCTGAAGAATAAAAAGAAGAGAGTTCTATTCAACAGGTAAGTTCTGAGACAGGAGTTTAGAATTCAGTTATAGTACTTTGAGGCCTTGGGGGGCTGGGGAAGATTATATTCCTTTTTCTCTTATGCCTTTATGCCTTTTTGCCTGTTTGAATTACAGTTCCCTTCCAGGAAAGGATTTTCTGTACTGTATTTACAATGCCTAAAGCCACAGCATCCTGCTCAGTTAGTCCTGAGAGAACAATCTTTAAATTGCCTAAACAAACAAAAAGCTTCAGTTTTGGCAGTGGAACAACTGAAGCTTGGTTGCTTTTGATGTAATATTTACATCCAAACAGAAATCTCTTCTTTTGTTGTTTTGTTTTTTTTTAAAGGTCAGATTGTCTTTATATGAAACATCCACTTGAAACGTAAACATGAAATAACACTAACGTTATAGGATTTTAAGATGCTTTATAAGTGGTCCTGAATTACGGCAATCAATTTTTTTTTCCCACTTCTGCAAACACCATCCATCATATTTGAAGTCACTTTACCAACTTATTCAGTTATGTTAGGCCAGTAAAGGGGAATAGCTCTAGTAAGTCTCCTTCTCTTCCCATATTAAACCTTTTAAGTGGGAAAACTTGAGATGATGTTTTTAATAAAAGGTAGAACTGATCATATGTAAAATGAAGAGCAAATAGACAGGGAAACAAGCTGAGAAAAATGGAGGCAATGTTTTTTTTTTCCATAACATGAAGTTTTAGTGATGTTAGATGGAGAAGAAAAGTGTTTATATTGCTGTTTCTACATATATTGACATTTTCACTCTTTTTGACGTGTGGGTGGACGTTCAGTAGCAGTGTTGATGGCTATGGTAACACTTTAATGTTAGTTCACCATATTACACATGGGGCTGCTGTTAGTTTGATGCATGACTTACAGAAAAGACGATAGCTCTTGACTCTCTTAAGCCAGCGAACAGACAAGGTGCAGCCAGGAGCTGAAATGACTTTCCCATGCTGGCCTACTGCTGTACCCCAGCCGTCTTCCAAGGCAGCATGACTTACTGACCTTTGCTTATTTCAGAGAGAGCTCCCACACACTGTTTTCCATATTTTATATTCTTTCAAAATACAGTGCAGTTGGCAGGGCAGTTTGGCTGCAAATGAAATAATTTTTGAAACTTTGTATGTACTTTTGCCTTGTGGGAGAATTCATTTTTCCTTGACTGTGGAACTGTGTGTGTGTGTGTGTGTGGTTTTTTTTTTTTTTTTTTTCCTTTTGCTCTACAGGAATGAGCATTCCTTATAGAAGAATGAAGTAATTGGTCAGGGTCGTATTTCAATACAGTGAAATGAAAGCACATGTTTTCTTAGGAGGGTTTACTGTGGTTTTTAAAATGCCTTGTATTTCCAAGTGCATAGATGAGCCTGAGAAAGTACCTAACGTCTGAAGTTCCTTTTGAGCAGGCGGTTCTGCTGATTCATCATTCTGTTGTGTGTCAAGTGACAGTTCTGCCTTTCTGTGAAACACATGAATTTGTGTACGTATTTTTAATAACTCGGATCCTGGAATGGTAGCCAAGCAGTGGGATCTGTAATACACCTTCAGGCACAGATGTGTTGTTATTCCTGTTCTTTTCTTAGCACTGAGAAGGGTTATTGCTATTCTTTAGTATAGACTGCAGCATAGTATGATACCTTCTTTAATATAGTAATTTTACGCTTCATAAGCTCATCCGTGAGTTGCAAAGTGCTAATGTTTCATCTTTCTATCCCATATAGTCAAAATACATACTTAATACCTTTCAAGAAAGTCAAATGTCACTGATTCTTGAAGGCTCTGGTAAGATTTAAGCAGCCGTGGGAGTTTTGCTCAGGCTTACTGCAGATGTGGTGGGGAAAAACGTTACTGTGTTGTTGCATACACCTGTAATAGCCGCCTTCCTGGGTGCTCAAAGGCCTTGTGACTGTCGGGTTTCCTTTATGCCTTGCTGTGCGTTTCTGTCCGTTTGCCTTGCTTACCATGTAATGTACACTGATTCTCAGATTCTCGAGTGATTTCCTGCGTAGTTCCTGAAGAAAACTCCTACTGCCTACCAGAATACCTAGGTTCATGCTAAAGCGTGGATGAATTAGCGATATGTTTGAGAAACTGAGGGGGAATGTTAGGAAAGCAAATCCTTCAAGTCAACTTTTCAGATGATTTTTGAGTGTTGTGTAATCAAATGTTAACTTTTTTTTTACCTAGAAATTATAGTTTTAAAAATTCTCCAACGTGTTAGTGGCTGACAGAGGTTAGAGATGTATTCCTTGCTTTAAACACACAATGCAGTTAAATAACTTTTTTTTAAGTATTTGCTCTGTTGAAATTTTCGTGGTAAGTCAAAGGGTTATACTGCCTTTACTTCTTATTTAAGCATCCTTTTTTATAGGTTATTTTGTGCATCAGTAGTGTAAACCTGTTTCTAAGGTGAAACATAATCCTAGTATTCATAAACTTCTGTGGTTTTTCTAGCATAACTCAGTGCAAAAAAAGAAACTTTCAGACCTTCTGTAACAGGGAACAGTTCTGAAATCTCACCAGGAAGAGAGTGAATTGATATTATTAAACACTGCTAATGTTTACTGTAATTTAATTTTCCCTAGATAAGTCCTGAGGGTAACAAAGCAGTTAAGCACATGCTTAACTTTAATTGCTTTGGTTAGTCATCTGTATTTTTTTTGGTGCTTTCACTGCAGCAAACATTAGACAGTGGACTATGATTTTTCTTGTTCAGTAACTTCTCACTCATTGAAAGTTTGTATTATCTTCTCAAAGACTGGAAAAAGTCTGGATGTTGTTTCTCTTGCTTTTTTTATTCCTTCTATTACCTGACAATTTAAACATTGGACCAAAAAAAAATCCTTTGCGTTAGCCACTCTTTCTGCAAATTAATTTCACTTTTGGTTCAGTAATTTTTTTCTAGGCTTGTTTTTATGAGCAGCAATAAATGTGGCAGTCTTCTGAGGAGCCACGATTAAAACTTTCTGAATGAGATGTAGAAAAATCTTGATTTCTTTTTTTAGGATTAATTTCAGTATCACTTGTTCTTGTTAGTGTAGAATAATACCTAAGAGATACAAATGTGGAAAAACATGATCACCACCTAGATCACTGTGCTTTACGTGTCATCCTCTATCATGAGCAGTCCAAGAACTGGTGTCTCTGTTTCTCCCTCTTTTCTCCCGATAGTTTGAGGCCGCACGCCAATTAGCTACAGGCAATCACATTATCTTGATTGTAATATGAAACAAATTATAAACATCCAAACGCTTTTCTCTGTGGAAAATAGAAGTAATTAAAGGCCTCCTTCATCTTCACCTTTGCTCAGCATGATGCCTTGATCAGATTTCTGACGACTCCTAGAGCTGTATGTGGCCAGCTACATCTGTTAAATCGCAGTGGATGGTCTTAATTTTGGTCTTTGTGATATAAGAACGAATGTCTTAAATAATTCTTTTTGACCCACAGCAATGTGAAGAGTTGAGCAGAATTTGACAATGGAGGCAAAATCCATAGCCGTCGTAGTGGAGGGGATGACCTGCAATTCTTGCGTTCAAACTATTGAACAACACGTTGGGAAAATGAATGGCGTCCATAACGTTAAAGTAAGTAACACTAGTGATATTTCTCACAAAGTATTGTTCTTATGTGAGAAGCCAAGGGAGGGAAATATGTGGATGGAAGATATTCTGCATGCTTCTTGGGAAACTGATGTTAGAGGTGCATTGGTGTATTTCTAATACACATAAGCAAGAGGAAAAACAAGTGCTTGCTTTACTGAAGTGGGAGCTAGGTTATTGCTGTTACTCTTTTAAAGTAATTTTTTGTCTTATATTTAATTCAGTATTATGAAGTAATGAGAAAAAAGTTTAAAAAAAGTTTTAAATAAAATGAAGCAGAAGCCCTAAAACTTACACTGATAAAGAAAGCAAGTTGTCCTCATCCCTTAAACTCAATAAACGTCAGTGTTTTGCCCACAGTCCCCCAGGTCTTTTCTTTCAAACTGACAGCAGGCAGAGGTCCCTTGCATAGGTTCAATAGTATTTGTGTCCCTGAGATGGTAAGTCAGTCATATGCTAATTGACCCACCACGGAAAAAATGCTGCTCTGTTGTTGTGGTTTATGAAATGAAGGCGGGGATAGTCCAGGGGACAAAATTTTGATAGCCCTTTCAAGCATTGGAAACTCAGTTTCCTTTGTACTTATTGTCCTTGTGGGAAAAAGAAAGAGCAGCAGAACTGTCCTCTTGGAAAAAAACTATTAATGCAGCTGCTTGGTCTGCTCTTCATCCAGACCTCATTGTTTTGACTTGAGTTTAACCTATGGAATTTTTTAATTTTTGTTTAGCTCAGAGGAGTTTTCAGTGTTCTTTTAACGTTTTGTCCAGCACGTGCAAAATAGTGTACTGTAGAGTTTCCCAGGGTGAGCTGGTTATTCCTACACTGTACCTCATTTTACAATCGTTTTAATAATCACAACTATGTAAAAGCTTAGAGATTCCTATTAGTCTTATGACCTAATTTGTGGCAGAAAGAACAATCCTAACAATTACAGCAGCAGAAAATGGCAAACTGTAATTGCTTTGTACATAGGTGAGGGTTCCCCTTCTCAAATAATGCTGTTATCTTCTGTAGTTTGTTTTGCCGTAAACTACTAGAGAAAGTTACCTTCCTGGTTTCGTCCAAAGGTATTTCTGTTTTAGTGGATGTGCTTTAGATGAACCCTTTCCCTCGCAGAAGAGGCAATGCTATCTTGATTTCAGGGGCATGTGATCGTTAACTCCAGCTGACTTTAAAGGCCCATTGCGGTGCACCGTTCTGTACAAAGGAGAATGAGAATGATATACTAAGGTAGAAGTTGGTGTATGCTCACAGAAAGTTAGGTGAACAGCAGCAGTATTTACACCAAGTCCCATTTTTCATCTTCCTTCAACTCTAACGGAGTTTTAATGTGATAGGTGGCTCTTCTCTCACACCAGAGTGCTGATCACTAAAGAATAGATCCTTGCAGAATCAGGGATACCTCAGTAACAACATGTATCACATGGGAAGGACAAATGAATGACTTGGTATCCACAAGCTTGAAGTCAGATGAAGACTAAAGCCATCCTGTAAAATAATACCCCAAATGATGTGACTTCAGAATCCTTTCTTTCTTTACAGAATTATCCTAGCAAAAGGTTTGATTTCTATGATCTTGTATTTTCTGTTGTTTCAATTAGTTCCTGAAAATAAACAGGTAATTTGAGAGAGGAGGAGGAGGAGGAGAGATTCATGATTTAACTTGTATGTGCATCCAGGAGTGCACTCTTACGTTAGCAGTGAACAGCGTGGGTTTTTTGTTTGTTTGATTTTTTTTTTTTTTTGAAAAGTACCAAGTATTTTGTATGTAGGCTTTAGGGTAAATGCCTTATTCCAAAGCTGAATAACATTTCTAGGACTACTCTTGGCAAGCAAGTATACTACAAAAATAGTCTAAGTAGAATAGGACTATAATAAACTTTAAGAGAGCATATTTAGTGATTATCATCGTTACAGCATTAGAACTTCAATTTAACCAAATGATTTGTTTTCAGCAATCACCTCTGAGAATAGTAAAATAGGCTTTTGTTTAGTGATTATGAATTAGGCCAGCAAAAAAGACAAGTGTTGGCTGGCTAATACAGACAAACAGGGCTGCGTTTAGGTTATATTGCCTCCAACTGCAATGAAACCAATAAATGTCCGTGTTACTAATTCTGCTAAGGTCCATAATTGGGACAAAAAGGAAGAAAGGTGGTTCTTAAAATTATTTAACTGATGTAATTTAATCATGACTGTGGTCTTTGGGCTGTATCTTTGCCCGCAGGAGAGATAAAACTGAATGATAATGTGTTGAGCCTCTGGCAGGCATTGGTTTTCCCTTTTGGAAATTGCAGTAATTGTTTGATATATTATCAGTTGATACAAATATCCTCAATTTGATTTGTTTCCATCTGATTTGAAAGGTTAGTACCAAATCAGGATGTCTATGGGTCACCAAAATGTACAGAGAGAGAATAGCTTTTTTAATATTTGTCATATATCTAATTTTAAAACTGAATTTTATTCTGTGGAGTCTGATGCACTTTATTCCTCATAGCAGGATAATGCCTGTGCCGTTGTCACTTACTGCTGCAACACACTATAGCCTTCTGCTCCACTGATTCTGCTGCAAAGAACACTTCTGTCGGCTGACATTTGGGAGGTTTTTTGTTTTTGTTTGTTTTCTTCATACCCTAAGACACCTAGAACTATTGGACTCCTATCACTGACACTTAAATCTGAAAAAATTCCACAAAGAGCATTTTCTTCCGTCCTTGTAGCCCAAGGAAAACTACTAATAACAGACAAATTGTACAAGTGATTGGTTTTTTTTTTTTTCCTGTGGCTGTTTTGCTTTTGAAATTGAATTACACTGACTAACTTGATTCAAGAGTGTTTGGCTTTGGAAGTTTCATTATTTGCTATAAAATGCATTGAGATGCTGTCTGGATGTCAAAAGTAAAAGTGGCTGGAGCATCTTGTTGTAAAGGATTCTGAAACTGGTTTTTAAAAAAGTCTCTCCTGTCTGACCATGTTGTTAAACAAATAAGCAGAAGTTGCTTTTTGATGGCCACTGATACGGTTTCACTCCTCTTTTGGATGAGTAGTGAAGGGTAAAACGTTAGTGGACGAGTGTTACTAACATATGCGAGTAAAAGCTATTCATCTAATCTCACGCGGGGTGTTAGGTTCCCATCTCTTAATGTTGCAGTTTGCTAAGTAGTGATTATGTGTGTTTTCCCCCCTTCCCCTTCCTTGCAAGGTATCTCTGGAGGAAAAGAATGCAGTTATCATTTATGACTCAAAACTACAGACTCCAGGGACTCTGCAGGAAGCAATACACGACATGGGATTTGATGCTACGTTGGCTGATTCAAACCCACAACCTGTTTTACCTGACACTATTTTTCTTACTATTCCTACTCAGTCAACTTTAACATCTAAACAGATTCGTAGTACGCTACTGAAAAACAAAGGTATTCTGGATGTTAAAATGTCCTCTGACCAAAAAACTGCAGTGGTGACTTTCATTTCTTCCGTTGTAAGTGGCAAGCAGATTATCCAAATGATCCCAGGAGTAGATTTAGGCGTTTCAGCACCAGAGGTAACTCCTGGAACTTGTGAAGATGCCAGCTGGTCTCAAGCTAGCAGTGCTGTGCTGCGCCTGAAAGTGGAGGGGATGACCTGTCATTCCTGCACCAGCACCATTGAAGGGAAGATTGGCAAATTGCAAGGAATTCAGCGGATTAAAGGTAAGACCTTCTTTTATTTTTACATAGCCTGAAGTTGACTTTGCTGTCCAGTGATAGCATTTTGAAGGTACCTGGGCCTGAGATTGGATAGCTTGGTATGACAGTTAACTCTTTGGGTATTGATACTTAGTTACATGTTTAATTTGGAGCAGAAATGAAGAAAAGGACTCAAATTGCAGTGAGTCTTTTGCTGTCACAGGAGTGATAGCTTTCAATGCTTGTTTTGTGTTTTGGTAGGGAGGTCAGAGTGCTAGTGTTCCAGAGTTTTTATTTTCAGTTATGGCAATCCCTCTAATACCAGCTGTCTGTCTTTTGTACTGTAATAAGTACTAACACTTTCTGTTCAGTTAAAAACTACTATTAATACTACTACTAACTGTATGTTATTGTATCTAAAAAGACAAGATTAAATTACCCGTATAAATAGCCTTAGTATAAATGTAATGCCGCAGGTCTCTGAAAAAGAGGATATATTTAGTACAGTTAGTTAATTAGAAATAGTTGACTATGCCATTCTTGAAAGTCCTGGGGAAAGAGCAAAAATTGAGGTAAAGGGGATTGAAACTTGTTGTAGCATTAGACAAAAAAAACTGGAAAAACTAAATTACACTGGTTGTGATTTACAAAACCACTTAAATCTCCTTTTCATTGGAGTTAAGTTTCTGAGCATTTAAAGCCTTTTTGGAAGGCTTTGACAAGATCCATTGCTCTTAGGATGCTGGGCGGTAATGCGCACTTATTTCTATCGTTTAATTCTTAGTGTCCCTGGACAATCAGGAAGCTGTTGTCGTGTATCAGCCTCATCTCATTACAGCGGAAGAAATAAAACATCAAATTGAAGCTGCGGGTTTCACAGCATCTTTCAAAAAGCAGCCCAGACCTCTCAAGCTCAGTGCTATTGACCTGGAAAGGTTGAAGAACGCTCAAACCAAAGGCTCTGAAACAATACTGAGAGAAAACTCAAAGAATGCAAATGATACAGAGACCATTGTCTTCAGAGTTGATGGCATGCATTGCAATTCATGTGTCCTCAATATTCAGAGTACTATATCAGCACTCCCATCAGTAACAAATATAGTTGTTTCGTTAGAGAAGAAATCTGCTATTATAAGCTACAACCCAAACTTAATTAGCGTAGATGTACTGAGAAAAGCCGTAGAGGCAGTGTCCCCAGAGACGTTCAAAGTCAGCCTTCCTGATGAGTATGAGGACACAGCGGTTTTCAGCACACTGGCATCTCCAATGAAATCGCTTCCTGTCGACTTAAAGGATGCTAGTCAGCCCCTTACTCAAGTTGTTGTGATAAATATTGAAGGAATGACTTGTAACTCTTGTGTGCAGGCTATTGAGGGAGTCATATCCCAAAAGACAGGTGTAAAATCAATACGTGTTTCTCTTTCAAATCATAATGGGACTATAGAATATGACCCCCTGCAGACATGCCCAGAAGATTTGCGATTCTCAATAGAAGATATGGGATTTGATGCTTCTTTATCAGGTAATGGCGTAGTAAACTTTTTACGTTATATGTAAAAGGATGGTAAATTTTGTTTGGGATATGGTACCATCCAAGACGAAATTTAGAGGTTTACATGTTGTACTTCATGCTTGCCAAGAGAAGCTTTATATCTTCACTGCCATGAGATGGTTAAGTAAACATGTAATACTTCCTTTACATTATGTAATAGAGTACACTACGTTAGAGGCGATTGAGTTGTCTGGAAATACAAATGTGTCCAACAAATACTGATGTTTAAATGGTGCTCCAATTTGCAAATATCTTACTACTGTCCGATATTCATGGGATGAATATGGAAGATAAGTAGAACTTTGCTAGGTGCTGACAATATTGCATATTATTGCACTAAAATTTCTGTAATAAAAAATTATCCAGGACTGAGTTCTTGTGGAGTAACTGGCAAAGTGATGTTTAACCGGACACAGGCATGAATGTGGAGTGGCGATAATTTGAGGAGTGTGAACATCACTGAAGAAGTTAAAATGATGCTTACTGTGATGAGTTGTACAGTGTAAGGCTTAAATTTCGAGAAATATAGTAGAGAGTTATTTTATGCCAATAACTGAGGGAGAGAAATCAGGTGGTCCCATTTAATTCCTTTCATGCAGCTCCTGTATAAACGTAGCTTCTCCTGAATTGCTGTAAGAAGCAGTTGTCCGTGGCTTGAGAGCCCTTCTCTAAGGTCACAACCGTTGAATTTGCTTGCAAGCCATGAATTTGCCTGCAAATTCAACTGTGTCAGGTGAAGTCAATAAAACTGTATGTGTAAAACTAAGTTTGCAGTGCAGAAGTTTAGTTTACAACCTACAGAATGAGACAGGGGATGTACAGTAGGACAGACAGATAAAATGAGGAAAGGTGAAAGAAAAATAGTAACAGTACAGTTGGGTAGAAAGTTGATTTAAGAGTAAGCAAAAGAAAACAAGGCCTACAGTCATGCGGATGAATCTGCTTGATAAGGCACGTACAATTAGTGTTTTTTGGTCTGGGAAGTTACAGCAGCATGCACTTATGTCTTATATACTACTAGCTCCTAGCTCATTGCAGTGGCTATTTATAATGTCATGAATTACAGTCTTTTCTCCAGCAAAGACAGAACTCCCTGTGGTGATAACTCGACTTTTGCCCGAAGTGCAGCTGGAATCTCACAGAACAGAGCCTCCCTCCAAAGCATCACCGCTCCACATCGCTAAACACGAGACAAAGACTATTTCCAAGTGCTACGTCCAAGTCACAGGCATGACGTGCGCTTCATGCGTAGCAAACATTGAGAGAAATTTGAGAAGAGAAGATGGTAAGATATTATGTCTGCAGAATCTGTTAAATTTCTAAGTGTTGCTTTTGGAGAATCTATCTAGCTTTTGCACGCTATTTTAAAATGGTGGGTTAATCAAGAGAAGTACCATTGCTGGTGTGTTGGATGAGTTAGAACGTAGTCTGCTCACAGTGGGGTCATAGGAGGAGAAGGGAACATAGATTTTGCTGCTGTGATGACTTGCTGGCTGGAGACTGCCCTTGCAAAAGCTGGAGTCGGAGCACTTTGAAGAGAATATAGGTACTGAACCTGGATCCTCTTCAAACTAAGACAAACCTCTTCTGTGTGAGTGACATGTCCAGGTCTATAGCTTAAAGGCAAAAGCACGTATGTCTGTTAGAGAAAGACGGCATTAGTATGGATTAAAGACGCACGAGTTAATTTAGGCTCTGTGAATCAGGACAACGATGTCTATCTTCTGTTGGAGTAATGATTTGCAGGAGCAAGTTGTTGCATGGCTATGATGTAGTGAAGAGTCATTAATATGGACTATGTTTAATTGCCCTATGTTTAATTATTGTATTGAAGACTGATATATTCCAAAGTTAAAGTGGAATCGTAATATTTTCCTGCTAAAAGCTTTTTGTACTTTCCCTTTTCCTTGATGTGTGCAATAGGATTGCACATTTGTTCAGACCCACTGCTTCTCATGCATGTTCCTTCAAGTTCTTTCTTCAAGAAAGCCTTTTAGAAACGCTAGATGTGGATCAAAAAATGTGTAGGCGTATGCTTTAGAACAACTCCTTTTAAGAAGAAAATAACAGACTTTGTTTGTAACGAGACAGTTAAAAACATACAACTCATTTTGTCCCTGTCAGAGTAATACTTTGGTGTCTGTCCTTCACGCGTACGCTTAAGATTTCCCTGGTACCGTTATGCCAAGTGTCTGTTCCTCAGAGTCCTGTGTCTTTCTGACCTGTGCTGTTATGGCACTGTTGATGTCTTTTCCAGAAATGCTTCCGTTTCTCTTTGTATGTGCAATGTGATAGGCTTTTCAATGTCAATAAATAAATTGCTGTTATGCCGTCATATTGTCATAGACACAGTGTTTTCCTTAAACTGGAGCAGAAATATTTGCACGTTTTGTCTTCTAGGAATACATTCAATACTTGTGGCCCTAATGGCAGGAAAGGCAGAAGTGAGGTATAATCCTGCTATCATACACCCATCAGCTATTGCAGAGCTAATACGGGAACTGGGATTTGGAGCTACAGTGATGGAAAACTATGATGAAGGAGATGGAATTCTGGAACTTGTTGTAAGCTACTAATTAAAAACAGCCACCATGCTGTCTTTATTGCTTATATCTGCTGCGCATGCCTGTATAAACGTCCATTTCCTAAAACGTTTACCGTAGGTAGTCAGTAATTCAGGACAGTCATAAAAAAAAATCCCTACTTAATCAAGATGTATTTACTGAGGAATCTGTGGTTTTGATAACAGGAGGGAACCTTTATTTTACAGGTGAGAGGAATGACGTGCGCTTCTTGCGTGCATAAAATAGAATCCACCCTCATGAAGACTAATGGTGTGTTATACTGCTCAGTAGCTCTTGCAACTAATAAAGCACACATTAAATATGATCCTGAGATTATAGGTCCTCGAGATATCATACAAATGATAAAGGTAAGTTTCACAAAGACATGAAAGTCTCATAAATCTCATGCTTCCAAAAGTTACATAACCCAGAACTGAAAAGCCCTTAACTTGAAGCAGCTATAGACGGGGGAAGACTATCAAAGGAAAGGTCCTGTCTCTTGTCTTCCATCTGTCATCCCCTCAATCTTGGTGTGAGTGTCTGCAGACACTCGTATGTGTTCTGGCTCAGAAGTAGTGCTCCATTATGACTGCATGAGTTCTTAAAGAGAAAGGCTGGGAAGGCCAGGCTGTGTTAGAATTGAACCTACTGGCTTATATGTTTGCAGAAAAATGAAGTGCATCTGTGAGTGTTGTAGCAAAAGAAGTAGTGAAATAAGTTGGCTGGTGTTTTCCCTCAATTTCTGTATCTCTGTGCCTCGGGAAGAAACCTTTTAAAAAGCCACATTTTAGAATAGGATTGTATTGTTTTGGAGAAGTTGTTGGAAAAGGTTTGTGTTTTTTAGTCATCTTTTAAAGAGAGCTTTCTCTCTCTTTAAAATCGTATCAGAAAAGTTAATGAAGTAAAGTAAATGCATGGTTGGCCCCACCAGTAATATGTCAATAACTTGATTAAGAGCGCAAAGTGTCTTTAAAAATTCACTGTTCATTTCTACTGTGCTTCTTTTCCCTAGGATTTAGGTTTCACTACTTCTTTAGTCAAAAAAGATAGATCTGCTAGTCATCTAGACCACAAACAGGAAATAAGGCAGTAAGTATTCCTAAACATATTTAAGTTCTATATGAACACTTTCAATTCCCCTTTTTGATGTTTTCTTTTTTAATCAATGGTAAAGTTTGTACAAACTAATGAAATACATTTTTGTAGACTTGTTAGCTAAAATGTTATCCATCACTTGACTGCAAAACAATTTTTTTAATTACATATATATTTTTTTTAAACCTGAGGTGGAGAAGGTCATTTCTTGTCAGTCTGGTTTTCTGTATTCCTGTCATGGGGCTGATGATTTACATGATGATTATGGACAGTCAGCTTGCAGATGCTCACGCGCATCACAACATGAGCGCTGCGGAAATGGAGACCCTTCACTCCTCTATGTTCCTGGAGCGCCAGCTCCTGCCAGGATTATCTGTCATGAATTTTCTGTCATTTTTACTCTGTGTCCCTGTACAGGTGAGTAGCAGAAAGGCACCTCCTAGTGTGTTGGGGTTAAACCTTCAAAATGGAAGGCCGTGAAGAAACGAAATTTGACAAGTGACTTCAGTTATGCTGATTGAAAATGCTTTTGAGGTTGTTAGATGCTTCTGCTCTAGCTAAAGTGAGTGCTGCTAGGGCCTGTTGTGGGCAGGCCAGTCGGTGCGTGGGCGCTGTGTAGCCGGAGAGCGCAGGAGGCAGCTTGCGTAGTCGTAGCCAGTGAGCATGGGAAAGGAGCTGGCAGCGCTGGGTGGGGGTGAGTGGAGGGACATGGTGTTGGGAATTGTAGCCCGAGGCTAGAGCTGGGACTCTGTTCAGGAAGAGATGGAGATGACAACCACCACAAACGGGCATCAGCACCTTTCTTATGGAAATGTTGTTGCCGTGCGTTACAAACGCGTGTGTAAAATATAACTGGTGCTGTTATTGTTGCAGATGTTTGGAGGCTGGCACTTCTATATTCAAGCGTACAAAGCACTGAAGCACAAAACTGCAAACATGGACGTGCTTATTGTTTTGGCAACTTCCATTGCGTTTGTCTACTCGTTCGTTATTCTCCTGGTTGCCATGGCCGAGAAAGCAAAAGTAAACCCTGTGACTTTCTTTGACACACCTCCCATGCTATTTGTGTTCATCTCATTAGGCCGGTGGCTAGAGCATGTTGCAAAGGTAAGGAAAATGGAAGTAATTCTATGTGTTGGGCAGAAAAGGAAGAGCATGGCAGGGGGGTTGGTATGTCAGACAGATTGCCCTAATGATGGTGAAAGGCTGAAGCTTTTAGCTGTCTACCAGATACCGTAAAATCAAATCCTATCAGGAAACAGATGTTCTTTTGACACCTTCACTGGATGGAAAACATCAAATCTACAAGTTGCAAGACACTCTTTGTGTATCACTTCAGAATGTTGCATACGTTTTAAAAAAAAAAAGAAAAATGTCAGGTTTTTCTGCTGTTTTTGTTTTAATGTCATATTTCATAACTGAACTAGTGAAAATATGAAATGACTAAGTCTGCAGGAAATATTTTATTAAAAGGGTAAATTGCAACATAGACGGTTGGCACTTACACAGCAATATTTTTCAATAGGGTTGTTTTAAAAAAAAAAAAAAATTATTATTCTAGGGTAAAACATCAGAGGCACTCGCAAGACTGATTTCATTACAAGCTACCGAAGCAACTATTGTTACCTTGGGCCCTGATAACATTCTCTTAAGGTATCTTACTTTGTCATTTGTTTTTTCTCTTGTTTCTTTTTTGCTTTAATATGCTTAATTCACATATTGATTTTTTACCGTTCTGTAAAACTGTGAAGCAAGTAACTTCACATTTGCTTCAAACTTGCTTGCTTAAAATGTGAACAAATTAACACTGTTCCGATTTGTTTTATCAGCACCTTACTACCTCTTCCTGTGATCAGAAAATGAGTGAATTTTCTCAGAAAGTAAAATAAATAAAATAAGCTTAGTGCTCTACAAAATGGCCTTTTTTCTCCCCATGAATTTCTGTATACTTTAGTAGCGTGAAATGATGTGTTCCTGCTTTATGTAGTATGAACAGCTCCTTTTTGCCTGCGTAATTTTAGTTAGCACTGTCATAGTAAAAATGCTATACATCATTCTAGTGAAGAGCAAGTTGATGTTGAACTGGTTCAACGAGGTGATATTGTCAAAGTGATTCCAGGAGGCAAATTCCCAGTGGATGGCCGTGTTATTGAAGGGCACTCTATGGTAGACGAATCCCTCATCACAGGTAAGCGTTTCCTTTTTGCAAGTTTAAAAATGTTCTTTCCTATTTAATGAATTTGAAGAGAAGTTGAAATTGTTTGACGCTCTCTTACTCTTCTAATTGCATGTTGACGTTGGTAGGTGTTAGAAAAAATATTGCCAAAAAATTTCCCTTGATACTTGTTTTTCTTTCCTTTTTAGGTGAAGCAATGCCTGTGACTAAAAAACCTGGCAATACAGTCATTGCAGGTTCCATTAATCAGAATGGGTCGCTGCTGATTTCAGCAACCCACGTTGGAGCTGATACAACTCTATCCCAGATTGTCAAGCTTGTGGAGGAGGCCCAAACCTCAAAGGTAGAGTAGCCTCAATTTAAGCAGTTGGGTTGTGCCTTATCATTTAGACATCAGGGCACCGGCTCACTTGAAAGGTGTTTTAGATCGTTTGGATTTAAATTGCAGTTACACCGTGAAGTATCTCACTAAATGAGGACTCTGACATGGTTCACTGTTCCAAAACTCATTGTTTTATTGAGTATAAGTACCTGGTTATAATCATAAAATATGGTATGCCAAATATGCTGAAAAACAGAAACTGATTTCATCTATATCCAAAGGTATGGAAGTGTGAATAAGTGTAATATTGCTAAAGCTGACGTTTGTTTCTCCTTCCTAGGCTCCTATCCAGCAATTTGCAGACAAGCTTAGTGGCTATTTTGTTCCTTCTATTGTGGCTGTCTCTGTGGTTACCCTTTTTGCCTGGATTATAATTGGATTTGTGGATTTTGAAATAGTAGAAAAATACTTTCTGGTAAGTCAGGTCACTTAAACACTTTCTGAAATGTTTCCAAAATAATTGGCCTAGGAGTCAATTAGACTGCAACAGTTCTGTTTCTGGATTATTCTTGCAGGCAGTTGCTAAATACATATATATTATTTATATTTTTTTAATTCACACTCTGTAGCATATTTTCTACCTTTTTATTTAAAAAAAAAAAAATCTGTGGTAATTAATCACAGCTCCTGAAAGTTAGTTTTAAAAAAAAAAAAAAATCCAGCTGAAGTTCTTGACCTTGAAACTTCCCAATTTCCATTACTTCCTTTTGGGGAAAAGAGTCCCTTGTGTTACAAGCCCCAGTTTTACATCTAGTTTTGTTAGCATACCTCTGTGTAAATTTACCTTTGAAATCAGTGGAACTCATATACTTTACAGATCCCAGAGCAGGAGCAGGATCCCAACTTGTATCCTGGGGCTGTTGATATCGCAAGTTCATTAGTTGACTGCTCTACTCACTAGAATCTCTTATTTTTAAGACAGCAGTCTTCATATCATCTTTCATTTTCATTGCATGTATTGTTGATGGAGTATCTTTTATTACATTACAGCTTAAAAGAATTATCATAGCTTGTAGTATCTTATTTAAGAAAAAGTTCTGTGAGTAAAACAAATGATGGGTATACGCTGTTCAGAACAGTTTCTAGAATTAAGTAGTCATTAATCTTAGCTCTGGCATAATTTTTCTGTGCTTTATTTTTCAGTGTTATACTTTTTTAACTGGCATGTTTGTACGTGTTTTCACGCCACAGGTGATGTGTAGTTGAATGCATTGTTTTCATTGTTCAGTGTCTTCATCTATTAAAATGAATTTCTGTCTCTAGGGTTACAATAAAAGTATTTCTGCAGCTGAAGTGATAATCCGCTTTGCTTTCCAAGCCTCTATCACAGTCTTGTGTATTGCATGTCCCTGTTCTCTGGGATTAGCAACCCCAACGGCTGTGATGGTGGGTACTGGAGTAGGAGCTCAGAATGGCATACTGATCAAAGGAGGAGAGCCTCTAGAGATGGCACATAAGGTAAGAAATGTGGGTTATTTTTGCAACAGCTCTGAAGGCTGATATCGGTGGCGTTCTGCCAGTTCCTGCCTGAGCAGGTCACTAGCTGTAAGTGGCATGGTAGTAAGTTTGGTTGAAAGTGGAGTTTTCTGAGGAAGCTGTACATTAAAGCGTTGTTCATTGAATGAAATCTTCCTGTTTTGCTGCAGGTAAAGGTGGTTGTATTTGACAAAACAGGTACAATTACTCATGGGACGCCAGAAGTGATGCAGGTGAAGTTTCTAGTGGAGAGTAACCGAATACCGCATAATAAAATGCTGGCGATTGTGGGGACCGCAGAAAGTAATAGTGAACACCCTCTTGGAGTAGCAATAACAAAATACTGCAAAAAGGTAAAGTGCCTTTTACCAGAAAAGAGAAGCTTCTATTAAGGAAGAACCTCTCCTTCAGTGCTTTCGTAATATTTGTGTGTAATCCTGCATCACTTAGAAAGCAATTGATGTAGTCAATTAGAAAGCTGAAAATTATGAAGCCACCTAGATCATTTGATACCATATTAGCTGCATTGGATGCTTAAACTTATATTTTGCTGAGTGGATATTTTTCTGCTCGTTTTACAGAGTTGATTTGACAACTGGTTATTGGGTGAGGTTTGTAAATGCAGCATGCTTTTATGCATTTGAAAGTTATCCAAGTTTGCTTCTCTTTTCCCTCAGGAGCTGGACTCAGAAACTCTAGGGACATGTACAGATTTTCAGGTCGTTCCAGGATGTGGCATTAGCTGTAAAGTCATCAATATTGAAGCATTACTCTACCGGAAGAATAAAATGATTGAAGAAAACAATATTAAAAATGTGACACTTGTGAAAATTGAGGAAAACGCTGAGGAATCAATGCAGCCTGCTTTGATTATTGATGCTGAACTACCAAGTAAGCTAACTCAGGCTTATAGAATAAGGTGGATAGCAGGACAAAGCTTTGATTTGTATGCCTTATTCAGGATCCTTAAGAATGAGGTCACTATTTTTTTTTTCCCTGCTAAACCAGGCTTCCGTCAAGGCACACATGAAATACAGTTGCTCGTTAGTTTATTTCGTGCTCATACATCACTCAGGACATTAGAATAAAAATGTTCCGTTGGAGTATGTACAATTACACATTAAATATGGAGCTAGCAAACCATCTAGAAATCATCTCTCTGCTCTCTTTTCTTTGTTTGCTTTGGCCCAAGTCACCATTTGCTAGTCAAAAATGACTGCCTGTATTTGCGCAACTGACTGGTTTTCAGTCAAGAGCAGCTGTCTATTTAGCTCTTTCAAATA